ACAGTAGCAGCAGCAGTTGCACATTACAAGAGTAATAAAAAAACATCATGTAATAATAAGGCTTTAAAATCTCAGGAAGTGAAATAACCTAGATTGTGAGATTCCTTATTCCTTCCATTACTCTCTAACTTTATTAAATCTCATAGTGTCATTAAGATCAAGAAAGAATCTTTTTGCAAGAAAGACCAAGAAAGAGCAATGAAAAACATTTACAGTCAGACTTTACATACCACCACACAACCAGTCCACAAGACCCTAAGCCTAACCACAACTCATATAAAACATAAGATAATGGTGCTTAAAAATCGCCAAAGGAAATTAAATATTTTATCTTGAGGTATTTTCTGTCTTCTTCTTCTTGTTACTGTCATTTGCATTCTTCCACACTCTTTCTCTCTATTCGTTCATCCTCCTGCTCGCCTGCTTTGATCGACAGTGCTCTCCACAGGATGAAGTGTGACATGTGGTGTGTATGTCAGTGTCTGTCTCACTGTTTACTCTGAGCTAATACTGACTCACTCCATTAATCTGAGCTACAACAGATCCACTCCAACCTGCCCACTTGAGAGCGTGCGTGATTCTTCGGGTGTGTGTGTTTGTGTTTTAGGTGTGTCCATACACACTGAATACATGAATGCACGACACATGTTCTTCATTGTGTTTGTGTCACCCAATATGCATTTTCCTGCCTGATTTGTGTGTGTGTGTGTATACGTCTGTTGTTGTTGCGGCCCAGAGCTTCCAGATCGATGCAGAGATGCTTTATGTGCTCCTGTCTGGTCTAATGACATGTCTGTAAATTAGCAACAGAATGGTGAAGCACCACACTGAAACCTAATGGCACCTCTGTAAATTACCGCTAGAATGCTGCTGGACGGCTGCGTGTGTTCTCATTGTGAACAACTTGGCTCCCGTCCTCACTCAGCCACCTCATCTACATTTGTCTACGTGTCTGCTTGTGTGTGTGCCAGTGCGCTTGTGTGATTGTGTTAGCATTTGTGGCTGTTCTTTCCGTGTGTGTGTGTGTGTGTGCGTGTGTTTTTTGTGTGCCTCCCTCCTCCTCCTCGCTCTCGCTCCTCTCAGTAAAGACTAGCCCGAGGCCCTGAGTTGGTAATAGCTTTTCTGACAGCAATACACCAATATTTACAGAGACCAGCACCCACCCACACCCCTGCACATTTCATGCACACATAAAAAAAAAGCATATACTTGTCTGCACACACGTACACATTCACATGCTTGAACACAAAGTTGCACACTTTTTTCTTTTTGAGGCATGCGCATATACACGCACACTCTTAATTAACATGCTGGGAGGGAAGGAATCACACACTTGGGGGAACTCACACACATGCTGGCAAACAACTTGTTGTTTCTCACTCATATATTGGCATTCACACTTTGGGTTTTTTCATGCAACAGAAGCAAAGAAAGACAATTTGCCACAATTGCTCTTTGAATTGTGATATATTCTCACTTTTTCCTTCTCATTATTCTCTCTGTGTTATATTCACTCAAGTGCGGCCGATTCCATTTCAACACTCTTCTCTCTGCTTCTCACTACCTTAATAACCTATTACACTTCAGTCTATTCATTACGTGGCAATCCCAACACCCTCCCTTCCTCTCCAGCGGTTCCTCACCAAGTGTCTGTCTTGCTCCAGCCTGACCTAGTGTGTGTTAAATTCCCCTCTGTTCTCCTCATTATCGTGAACTACAAGTTGGTGGTTATGCCAGAGGCTCCACATAGCAGAGGAAAAGAGGCCAGCGAGACGTGCGGAGAGGAATGGTGGCGTGAAGCTTGAAGGGAGGTGTGAGAGATATAGGGATGGTGGTGAGGAGAATGCTGGAGTGGATGCGGAGGAAGGGTGATGCTTTGGGGGGATGGGTGTGAAGGAGACAGATAATGTCACCCCTGCTTGCCAGCACAATAGTATGATCATTTTTTGCACGCAGATGTGTGTGTAGGTGTGCATATTTGTTCCTCTGCTTGCTTGCGTATATGGCTGTGTACTTCTGTATGAGTAGGTCTGAGAGAGTAGATAAGAGAGTGTGAGCTTAAGGATGATGGATTGCAAATCTTGGTCTTGTGTCCTTGGGGGTCACAAAGGGTGTGCAAGGTAAGTTACCATTGGCTGTCTGCTTGTTATCCTGAATTCTAATTGGTCAGTCTTGCCTGCTTTGGCTGCCATGATGCTTACAGGCTTCGGTTCTCCATCTTCATTGTCATTTTTTGCCATCCTTCCCAAAACCTTTCTAACCTCCACTGCTACTGCACATACATGCACATACACACATTTTGGCATTTGATGAACATCACGAAATGAGCCATGTTGTCAAACAAGACCACATCACTTCAGACTGCCAGCACAGCTGTTCTCTCAAAAGAGAGGATGGCAGGTTTCATAACGAGTTTGGAATGCTACAGACTCACGACTGTCTCTCTCGCATCCACACTGTTTAATCTCCAACCCACATGAGTGATCAAAGCTTGTTTACACACCACTCCATGGTACGATTAGAGGTATGGAAGGAAGTGTTTCTTCCAAGTGCTGGCATCAGTGAGGCTTTGCTTGACAGTAACAACATTTTCAGCATCTTAAACAATATGTTTTGTACCGCACATCCGAATCAAATTTAACCAGGCCCAGCAGAGCTTTGTTTTACTCGGCTGGCTCTGATGAACACCCACCATTTTATCATCTTTGAGCATATTGTGAAGAGGAGTGTGGGAAGAAGCAACATAGCTTGGATTTTGTTCTAATCATTATGATAATGTTCAACAAGAGTATAATCATTCTATACTTCTTTGTTCTTCCTCCCTTTTTCCTTCGTCCTCTTCCTTTTCCACCTCTCCCTTTCTATCAGCTCGCGAGGAGTATGTTGCCACCTTCAAGGGCTCAGAGTACTTCTGCTATGACCTGTCGCCCAACCCCATCCAGTCTAGCAGCGATGAAATCACGCTTTCCTTCAAGACGCTGCAGCGCAACGGCCTGATGCTGCACACCGGCAAGTCAGCCGACTACGTCAACCTGGCACTGAAGAACGGTGCCGTGTCACTTGTCATCAACCTCGGCTCCGGGGCCTTCGAGGCCTTGGTGGAGCCCGTCAACGGCAAGTTCAACGACAACGCCTGGCACGACGTCAAGGTCACCCGCAACCTGAGACAGGTAACCAGACAACAGGAGATGGAAGAGTGAGCGACCAAGCACAGAGCAGGAACAGGAGAGGAGATATTAAAGTAGTTACGATATTATTAAGCCTTGAAGAAGAAAGATTTGAAGGGTCATAGGGTAGGACAAAAAGATCGCAAGTGGTATATTAATGAATGGATGGAAGCATGTTTGGATTTTAGTTAGTGATCAAATGATTAGCAATAAACAAAATTAATTACAACAGTTATCATTTTGATTAATTAATTAGTAATTGATAAGTAAAAATATTTTTAAAAAAATGCTTTTTTCAGTTTTTGAAATGTGAGGATTTGTTGCTTTTCTTTTGTTTTCTAACATTGTAAAGTGAATGACTTTGGGACTGTTGGTCGGACCAAACAAGAATCTTGAAGTGTGATGGGCATTTTTAACTATTTTATCACATTTTATAGACTAAATTATTCATTTGTTTATTTGTGAAATAATTTTCAGATTAATTAAATGATTTTCAGTTGCAGCATTAATTCTAATTCCCTGTTAAATAGTTTCAGTGTGTGTTTGACTTTGGTGAACCACAGTGACTGCTGCAGATGTTTCAGGGGCAGTGGGCAGCAGAAAAGACTATAGTCTGCAGCAAGAAACTAATCAATGTAGAAGCTACGGTCAGTGGTCTGTTGTCCAACTGCAGTGATGCTGTGGTAGGAAGAAAATACCTGAGGTTTTGGTCTTAGTTTACAGTGGGTTAACCACCAGACCAGCACTGCTTTCTGCTCTAGGTGAGTGCTTTTTCAATTGTGGGTGTGTATGTATGAATGAATGTGTGAGTGAAAGAGAGAGAGAGAGTGAACTAGAGAACACTGAGGGTCACTAGCACCACCTGTGCCCTGCCTCTACCGTTTGCCTGTTTGTACTACTAACTTGACTACTAACTTTACTAACCTGCTAGTGAAACTAACCACCATCCATGGAATGATTCATTCTACTAACCTAACCTGTGCCCTTCTCCTAGCGAAACCACTCCAACCAACCTACTAACCTCACCAGAGGCCTTCTAGCTATCCTTTTTTTGTTCCCGAAGTTGTTCTGTTCACAGTTTTTTGCTTTCCTTTCTCCCCCTCTCCTACAAAGCACTCAGGCATTGGACACGCTATGGTAAACAAACTCCATTGTTCGGTAGATATCATTCTAATTGTTTCTTAGTTTGGGTTTGCCCCGTGTCTATTTCCTTTTGAACCATAGACATCAAAACTAAACCAATAAAAGGATAAATGCGGTTGGTAATCTTTTACGCTTAAAAAGCCCCCCTCCCCCCCTCCTTGCCAACCACTTCTTTTTTTAAAAATCCCTTCTTCCCTTTCTCTACCGTTTTTTTCACCCCATCACTCTGTGACTGACATGTAGGCGTGTACTGATTGGCTCATCCCTCACCTGCACGCAAATGGCGAGCCCCCCCCCCTTCCTGCATGGCGTGACTCAGAAACCCTTCCCCTCTCTGATTGGTCCGTAATATGGATAGAGAGGTCCCTCCTTCCCCTTCTTTTTTTTCCTTCTTCTTTTGATTTTTCGTCCTCCACTCTGCCACTGCATGTTCTCCTCTGATTCATCCTGTCCTCTGTTGTCGTTCTTTTGTCTGCTGTGTCCTCTTTGCCAGTGGTTGCATGCAGAGAGAGGAACAGGCTGCATGTTTCTATATTTATGTGAGTGTGTACGTGTGGAATGAGCCGTAACCCATCTAACACCTGTGAGTGTGTGTACATCAATATGTGTGTGTTCGTCCATGTGTCATCTCATTCAGACTCGCTGATCTAACAAACCCCCCAGACCACATACTAATTAACTAACACCATCATCACAACTCACCCTAACAACACGATAACATAACATCATCACAACTACTAACAGCATTGAAATCATTAACCCTAACCTCAGTAACCCCACACAGCTTGGCCTGACACAAGTAACACCACTGTGGCTGTCAGCAATGCAACAACTAACAACTACTAACAAGTAAATAGTACTAACACCTACCTGTATAGCACGAAGAAGCCTGTGGAAACTTACTAACACCTGTGGCTGGGCAAGTTTGCCTGGCAATGATAAGCACCATCAGTGAGAGGAAACATACTGTAGTGGGAAAGTAAAGCGCTCACAACCTTTATGGGCAGTTGAACATGGTCAGTAATGTACTTAAGAACATCAGGGTGATAACATACCACTAACTGTGACTTACGTGTGACAGGGTTTGCAGCCTGTGCAAGCTAAAAGCCCCCATATAGGTTATTATACAGCAGAATGGGCTGAATTATAAAACACCAGGGCCAGTGTCGCCTTAGGTGGAGCATTAAGGGAAGCTGTTGTTAGTGTATTAGGAAGTAAATCAAATTGCATCTTCTACCAGATAAAGCAGCTTAGAGTCTGCGGCAGAGACATGAGGAGGAAAACTTTTAATGTAAAAGCTGAACTAGTGTACATAGAAGACGAGGCTAGCCTTTTAATGCAGTGCTGTGTTTTGGTTTGGTTTAGTCTGTACAATGCAGTGACAGAACTGGCTTTGAAGTCTGAGTGTGGAGAGTCACAATCCACCGATGGTGGCCTTGAGGCTTTGGTTATCAGTAAATCTTTATTAATCACACACAGGATCTAGTTTTCATTCTGTACAATAGACTTACTGCTGTTGACAGGCAGAAGCAGGCAGACCACATAGTATGATTCCAGTCAGAGTGTACAAGTGGTAGATGGGGCTACAGAGTGTATTTCTACGTTTAGGCAGGTTGAGTGAGTGGCATTTAGCAGTGTATATCAACATAATGTCAGTAATAACAGCAAAGACCAGAGGCAGCACTATTCATTTACACCACACAGTTAGCACTGATCCATCCACACCAAATCAAAGTCCCAACAGCACAACTAGCCAATTCCCCAAACCAATCAGGCCTTCTCCCCACCAGAATGCATACACATTGGTTACCAATGAGTAACGGGGGCTAATTTGGCTGGTCAGCGCCTAGCTAGCGCTTAGCGCTACCTTTGGTGTGAGTATATAGCGTGTCCTTTCCCTGTGCTTTGTTATGTAGGTGACGATCTCTGTGGACGGCATCCTGACCACCACTGGCTACACCCAGGAGGACTACACCATGCTGGGCTCTGACGACTTCTTCTACGTGGGAGGGAGCCCCAGCACTGCTGACCTGCCCGGTTCTCCAGTCAGCAATAACTTCATGGGCTGTCTTAAAGAGGTGGGGTGCATGCGTTGTGCACTTATGTGTTTTACCTGCAAAAAGAAAACACATTTGATATACTCATGCTCATAGTATGGTTTAAAAAATTGCATGATATTAATAAGATTATCTTTATCCAGTATATATTGCGATATGGCAAAAATCTAAAGATATTTGAAAAATGAAATAAATAAAATAGTCAAACTGCTTTTTATTAGACAAAACTATCCGCACATGCAAAACAAGTTAGTTATTTAACCTCAATTTGCTCAAAATTGTTAATTTAGACAGAATTGAGACTGAATGAGCTACAGAGATAATCGCTACATGATAATTTCTACATAATATGATTCCGCTGAAAGACGATGAATGATAATATTTAATTACTGCTGAGTTAATATACTAATGCTGCACATATTTCTGTATACTCTCAGGTTTTAAGAAACACATTGTCTTCTTTTCTCACTTTTTTTTTCTTCCTCTCTTCACTTACTGTCACGCATCATGCAAACATTTTACACACATTATCTTATAAAGCGCACACACCGAAATGCTTCCATTTGGCAGACTCACACAAACAGTCCCAGACACACACACCCTCCCCTGCATCAGAGAGAATCAGTGATGAGTGTCGTTGAGGGAGTAGATACAGCACTAAGCACTAACATGCTAATTAGCTACGGCACAGAGACGCTCCATCCATCCGCTGTGCTTGAAATGGGCCACAACACTGCAACAACAAAAACTCACATGACACACTCATGAAAACACACTAATACACTTGCATATGCACATAAACACAATCTTAGCATGCATGCGCATACATGAGCAGGAATGCACAAATATACCCACTAAACACACACAGACAAAAATAGTCAAACACAAACAATCACACATATGCACTCACTTATGCATTGACACAACAAAACTCCCAAATACATCCTCACACCCCTAATATACACACCACGTCTGAGTCTCACTTTCATTCACACAGAGGCATAAACAAACAACCAAACAAGCCGACAGATGATGTGCCAAACAGAGAGCTATCTGTATCAGTGGTGAATGCGCTCTGTGTTGCTTCATTAAGACTGATGGTGTTTAAACGAGGCTGCCGCTGTCATAGTGAACCCTCCACTGGCACATTTACATATTTAATACGATGATATGATAATCCGTGTGAGCAAATTAAGATGTATGCAGTGAATCACACGCATGAATGATCTCGGCTGTAACAGTTTGGTGCATTTGATGTGGCGCAGGCACACTCCTACACACCCACACGCTAACACCATTTTGCACACTTGCAGCACTTATATTCAAGAACTGAACTCATTGCCCTACACACGGATGAAAAATCACATGACATACAAACATTTTTAAACAAAGGTGAAAAGCCAATGCAAAAGAGAAGTTTTGTGATGTTGCTTAGTTGAGGTCATAGGAGGAGGTTTGGATTAATAAAGCAGAGCTTGTGTGTGCCCGTCTCTCTCAACATCAAAATGCTCAGCACAGGCACACTCTTTACACTCATGCTGCTCAGTCAGAGAGCGTACTGTGTTAGGGAAAGGAAAGAGAAACAGAAAAGAGTAAAAGCGATCATGCAAGTAGCAGGGACAAATGGGAGTTATCAAAAGATGGGGCTGGAGTGGCTCGCTCGTCTTAAGGTTGTCGCTTGCATATAAAAATACCAAAACACTTGAATAAATAAAAAAGTGGGTTGAAAGATTAATGGATGTCTGGTCATATTTTAAGTGTCTTGTCACCCTTTTTATCTCTTCAGCATTCTCTTCTTTTTTTGACCTCTGAAACAGTTAATCAAAGCATATCAAAGCGTTTTCTCTTTGCTTGTTTTTCCTTATTGTTGTAAAACACTAAGGTTAAATAAAGAAAAATCACAATAGTCAAATTCTATGCCACACTAGACATATTTGACAGGAATCAAATGAGGTTGTATCTATTGACCACGAGTGAAGAAAAAGGTTTCTTTTTTTTATCCAAAGATAAATTAATGTTTCATTCTTTTCTCTTCAATCCTGTCCCCTGAAGGTGGTGTACAAGAACAATGATGTACGATTGGAGCTGTCTAGACTGGCAAAACAGGGAGACCCAAAGATGAAGGTATGCACTTTCAAAAGCATGTACAACTTGATCCAGACTACACATTATCCTCTTATACGAAGAACACAGGAATCATTTTGTACCACAAACTCCTGTCAGGCCCTGCAAGGCTTATACTGTATTTTAAGTAAATGGGATTATATTTTTGAGAGTTAGACACAAGCTTTTGTCTTTTAGTCAGTTACAGCTGGGAGCGACTGGCTTAAGTTCAGCTGCAGACTACAAAGGAGCCATTTTGGCCATACTATTCACTGGGCAGCCACTTAACAACCCTTTTTCTTAAATGTGTGAACCCACAACATTTATTTTTCTTTTACCTTGCCCAGGTAAGTGGGATGGTGTCCTTCAAGTGCGAGAGTGTGGCCACGCTGGACCCTGTGACCTTTGACACCCCAGAGTCTTTCGTGGCACTGAGCAAGTGGACAGCGAAGAAGGCGGGATCGATCTCATTTGACTTCAGGACCACAGAGCCAAACGGATTGATGCTTTTTAGCCATGGCAAACCCCGGCAACAGCAACGCAAGGACCCTCGCACACCTCCTACAGTCAAGGTGAAAATATAATATATATACTATATATATAATTTATAGAAACACACAGGAAAACCATGGAAGAAACAAGACTAAGAATAGAAGTCTACAGCCATGCTAGTAGCTTTGTGAACTTAAATGCTAACACACAATGACAATGCTAGGGTGTTAGCCCCTTTAACCTGATGGTGGTGATAGATCACAAACGTTAATGCTCTTCATCCTGAGGGAGACATGAGTGTTACATATCTCATGGCAGTCCATCCAACAAACCACAAATGTCAATCTCATGGTGGCACCAGAAGAAAAGCCAAGGAATCACTAAATTCGTCAGAATATATAGTCTGGGAACCATGAATATCTGTACAAAATGTAATAACAATATTCATTATTACTATTGTTGTTGAATTTAGAATTAAAAGCTAAACCTTAAGTGAGTTTTTTTCAAAACAGAAGTCATTTCACCACTTAACTTAAACTATATCAAATCCAAGATGGCTGTTAGTTATTATATTATTAGTATAGTAGTAATAATCTTCTCCTATAACCCACAGATTCACAACTCTAAGCAATCTAGAAATCCCCATTCCGCACAAGATCTATGTAGTTTCTAAAAATGTATAAGTTTACTAATCTTCACTAAAATTGAATGATATTGCACAAAAAAACCTGATTATAAATGGTTAGACTGGAGCCCAATCACTTTATTGTAACATGCAGCTACAATTTGCATTTTTATTGCTCGCCATTACTGAATACTGATGCTGTGCCTCTTTGACTTACAGGTGGACTTTTTTGCCATTGAGATGCTGGACGGGCACCTGTACTTGCTGCTGGACATGGGCTCAGGAACCACGAAGACCAAGGCTATCGACAGAAAGGTCAATGACGGAGAATGGTATCATGTGGACTTCCAGAGGGACGGACGCTCAGGTACACTACAGCTCACTCAACTCTGAGCCTAACCTTGACCACACAGGTTGATGGAGGTGGAGGATAATGGGTAGACAAGATTGTACTTCAACATTTTATAGTAAGCACCAGGCTTCTGCCTGCTGTCTGTATTTAATTCAATCTGGACTCATCTAATTTGATTTTAAGAGTGCTGGACCATGGACCATTTTTAACAAAATCAATATACAGTAGCACTGTCAAATTTATTGTAATGTGTTGGTATAATTACCATAACACTCAGACTACAATTAAAGCAATTGGTTGCCTCTTTCTCATGGTAGTGCTGTTAATGTTTTTTAAGTATTATAGCCACATTTGTCATTAAACCGATGCCTTCTGTAGGTAAATGCATAAAACATACTAACACAGCACCTTTTGTTGTCTTTCATGAACATTATATCTTCTTCTTACATGTATTTTATACCGTTCATACAGTTCCAAAATGTTTTGTTTTTCAGTCTGATATCGTTTGTATGTCAGTGTTAATTACAGCCTAGAGTAGCAGTAGAGGCTGCCAGTCTTCCCTATGGGGGTCTTGTTTGTTTACTGTAACTGTACTAATGTCTAAAAATAAATGTATTAATGATTTATTGGACATAGCACTTTAAACCAGCACAGACTTGGAGGCACAAACGAGTGACTATGGCTTGTGTAGTTTTTCCATTGCTTCTGATTATAGCAGTGATGAGCGGCGGTGATGATGATGAGGAGGAGCAAAAAAAAGGGAAAGGATGATGATGATAAAAATGATGATGGTAGTCATAACGGAGGTGGTGGTGGTGGTGATGATTGTGATGAGGATGTTCACATTGAAGGTCATAACAATTACTGAAGTTGTTTTGATGTCTCGCTGTGAATCCAGGGACCATCTCGGTGAACAGTGTAAGAACAGCGTACACAGCTCCGGGAGACAGTGAGATCCTGGACCTGGATGAAACTTTGTACCTTGGAGGACTACCTGAGGACCGCGCTGGACTCATCTTCCCTACAGAGGTTTGTTTTTGTGTGTTTTGATAATATAGCTGCAACAACTTGGGGTCTGGAAACCAACTGGGTTTCAGCAGACAGGGATCCCTGAGACTACATCTTATCAAATACGGGCTCGCAGCCTGATGTGTATCAATTTGTGGGTCCTTGACACCAAACATGTTGAGAACCAGTGCTGTACATTATTTTTATTTGAGCACGTGTAAGAAACACATATATCAGGTGAAATTATGACCACAAAAATTACTTTAAGTGAAACTTCTCAACACTGGTGACCTCTTCCTCAGGTGTGGACGGCTCTGTTGAACTACGGTTACGTGGGCTGCATCAGAGACCTGTTTGTGGACGGGCAGAGCAAAGACATCCGGCGGCTGGCCGAGGCCCAGAGGGCGGTGGGGGTGAAGCCCTCGTGCTCCAGAGAGCCACCGAAGCAGTGCCTGTCCAACCCCTGCCAGCACAACGGCATCTGCAGGGAGGGCTGGAATCGCTACGTCTGCGACTGCTCTGGGACGGGATACCTGGGACGCTCCTGTGAGAGAGGTGAGAGTAATATGATGGCAGGTTGGAGAAGAAGAGGACGAGAATAACACTTCAGCTGGACTTTTGGCAGCCTGTTTAGTAATTGGCATGAATGCCTAAGTCACATTTTCACAATAGAGATGAGTAAGCTAGCTAATTACAGTCACTAAACAGCACCATTTTGTGAAGAATTAATAATATGTCATGAAGCAAAATACAGTCATAATGACAGCTTTGTCATTTGCTTTTTGGCTTGAGAACATTGAGTAATGCCAAAGGGATGAGTGACAGAAGACAGATGGTACAGGGTGGAGAGTCTAAAGTTTTTAAGTCAGAAATAATTCCATCAACCACTGAAAATATATTATGATCATCAGTTATATTGGGCAATAAAATTTTATTCATTATACCTTTAAGTTATGCTTTTTTCCCTTTCAATGGCCCATCCTAACAGATTACACCTGTTTGATAGTACTTTGCTGTGTGCTAAGGTACGCTCATAAAGATTTATAGCAGATAAAAATGTGGCGAAATTCTTCAAATAAAAAGGTTTGCAAATTGAGTTTAGGTAAGTTTACCCTTCACTATGTCCCTGGTGATGGAGAATAGAAAGGATGGCATGTAGAAAGCTGGCACTGTAGAAATAGGTGCAGATAGAAATAAGCACAAAGATAAAATGACCCAGCTTGCTCAACAACAAAAAATAATAATAGTACAGCATTTCTATCTTTGGCTGTATCTTTTTTTTTTATTCAAAAACACAAATGTTCTGTGCATGAGAGTGAGAGTAGTAAGGTGGAGGCAGGGAAAGGAAAGGATCAAGCAGGGGTGAAAGAGAAGAAGTGGGAGGAAGCAGAGCTGCAGACAGGACTATTGGACTTCTATAGATGTAGAGACTGGGAATCGATGGGAGAGGAAATGTGCAGAAAGCAGGGAGCAGGAGCTGTGACAGAGGAGGGTGAAACCACTGGGCTGGAACCACCATATGACAGCAGGTGAGGAGATGAGGAGGAATGGGAGACGGGAGTAGAAAATCTGACAGAGAGAGAGTTATGAGAAAAGGTATGAATTTAGGCCGAGAGAGAAATGGAAAGTAGGAAAGATTGGCAGAGGGACTGATACAGGCCTGTTGAAAGACGCGAGATGGAGTCAGACAAGGAGAAGAGAAGAAATGTTGTTTGTGCCACAACTGCTGACGCGTCTCAAGTGATGATTGTACTATCATCTAACAGGAGATATAGACACACACATACACAAACACACACACACTGAAAGGCGTTGATATGAAAATGTTTTATTTCGGAGGACAAACATCCGCAGTGTATGTTTATCGTAGCAATGCACCTTCTCTCTCTCTCTCTCTCTCTCTCTCTCTTAGCTCCTTTCCTCTATATCTTTCTTCATCCCTCTCTGTGTGCATTGAGGGGTCACTAACTGGTGGTTCAGTGGATTAAAGGAAGCACAGATGGAGAAGCAGATGGAGAGAGTGATTGGCCATGTTTACGCCTTCTACCTGCGGTTTCTCCCTCCCTTTTTTACCTCCCTCATTCTCTCACTCTTGCCTTTGTTCCCCCTCTCTCTTCTTTAATGAACAAAGATGGTCGCTACTCTCTAGCTCCTTGATGAATTTTTATTTTGTAAAGAGTGGTCACACATATTTCTAGCGACACATTTGCACATCTCTTAACACATTTCTTTCCTCCTGTTCGCTTGCTGCTGTTCGCACTGATGGGTTACATTCTTGCTGTCCTGATTTCTCTATGGAAGCTTATTCCTGCCAGGAAAATATATTAAATGTGTTGGGAATTACCTCAATTTCATCTTAATCTATCAATGGGTAAAATGTTGAATGTGCAAATTTCAGTCTAATTTTTTTTTCAAACAAAAACACATATTTTAAAATCTCCATCTCTTAACAATTATGGATAACCCTGACAATCCACAGTTAAAACATCTATTTTATAACTAAAGTTCATATTACTCTCAAAAAAACATTTTTTTTTAAGGATTGACAAAAATAAAAGTACAAATCCTTATTTGCATTAATCTTGGAGATTAGTAGATTCTACCTTTTGTCTTACCACAAATTATGAGATAGCAAAGGGCAGCGTGCACACACAGTGTTGGGGCCTTTGACAACAACAAAAGTAGTTCTCAAACTATGGTTTGTTTACCACTGGTGGTACGCAAGCTGCCT